AATGAAGATGTGTACATGGACACATAGGAAAACATTAGGGTGAGTTCAGGGGCGGCTGAAAAAAATGCTGAACAGCTCCTAAACGTGAATTTATCAGCTGCAGTGTACATGGGCCCTTAGAGAGAATACAGGAGGTGGAGTGTAAGTTGGAAGGGAGAATGTGCTGCCTAAGATAGGAAATTTGGCATGGAAGATTTGGCGACTGCTGTTTTTAAATGGGGTAAGAAACAAGTGAGTGATTCAAGACCAAGCACCATCCAAAAATGCCTCTAAGAACCAATTCCAACCAAAAGTTTTATTTTTAAAGTGGTTATAAAGGCAGAAGGTTTTCTTACTTGTGTCCCATCTCGATCCAGTAATGTGCATGAGAGCAGTGGCTCTCCTGAGTGTCTCATTGGTTCACACAGCAGCAGGAGCCATTTGCTCTTACTGCTATCAATCAGATCCAGTAAGCCAATGAGAAGACAGCAGGACCAAGCCACGCTGTGTGTGAATAGACAATGTCCAATCACAGTAGTGCAGCTTGGAGGTAAGCCTGCTCGAGTGCCCCCATAACAAGAGACTTGCTATTGGCGGGGGGGGGGGGGCACTGCAGAGGGGAGAAGCCAGGACTGTCAGCAGGTAACCAAAAGAAGAGGATTGGGGCTGCTCTGTGCAAAACCAGTGCACAAAGCAGGTGTGAAAAAACAAACAAACCACACACAACCTTTAGAATCACTTTAACCCCTTCACGCCTAAGGGTGAAACAAATCTTAACGCCTAAGCACAATTTTGCAATGTTGACATGTGTTAGTACAACCGTACATATCATCAAAACTACTTTGTACATCCAGGTGAATTATACCGCGTTTTTTTTCAGGATAAATTGAGCTTTCATTCGGTGGTAAATGGTAATGGATGTCTCCTGACTTCTTTTTATTATCAAAGGAAAACTGTCCCAAAACAGTAACAAAAACCCTTTTTTTTTTTTAAATTTAGCTGTATTTTTCTTGTTACTACCATAACCTACCACCAAACAACCCAAAATAAATTTTCCAGCTCTTGACGATCGCAGCGATACCATATATGTGTATGTTATGTGTTGTTTGTACCCGTAGTACAGCCCAGAAACAATAGTACACATTTTGTTTTTTTTTTACCTAAAGCACAGACACTGATGCTGATGCTGAAACTTTATTTATAGGTAAAGTTGTTCCAGGGAATATCCGATTGCCTCTCGGGGGATCAGGAAGGAATGTTTTTCCCAGCAGGAGCAAATTGGATCATGCTTTGCTGGGTTATTTTTGCCTTTCTCTGGGTCAACTGTGGGTGTAGGATTATAACTTTTTTTTTTTTCTATGGTTGAACTGGATGGACTTTTGTTTTTTTTCAGCCAGACTAACTATGTAACTATGATACCAATTAAAAAAAAAAAAAATCCTGACCTTGACCCAAACACTTACCCTGGCACTGAACTAGATCAAACCTTAATCTAGGTATTTTTTCTTTATATTTTATTTTTTAATATTGATTTTTCTTTTCTTTTCTTACATTTTTTTTCCCTTCTATGCCAGGAGTTAGAGAGATACAATATATCTCTCTCCTCCATTCATAGAGAGAAAAAAAAACCAAGGGGGCTGGGCTATACAGTGACTGATCACTGTGATAGCCAATCAGAGGCTATCACAGCGATCATGTGACTCGGAATCGGGAGTTTCGGCGCACTTCCAGCAGAAAGACAGGTACGCAAATATGTGGCCCCACGGAAAAAAAGCCCAGTTCTGTGAAACCACATATTTGTGTGACGTCGGCGCGAAGGGGTTCAAACTTGAACTCCAGGAATTATGTTAAAAATAGCCATGCAGTAACCCCACCTCCACTGCAAGGGTTAAATGCTCATTATATCTAAAAGGGCAGGTCAAGTGTCTCCAACCTTTCAATATGAGGGCCACATTATATATTTTACAAATATTCACAAGCCAAAAAAAAAAAATCAGTATTATATAGTAAATTACCGATTATAATTTGAATGAATAAACAAACATGTTCTAAGAAATAACATCACATCAGAGATCCTCCTTTCACATTAGAAGACCCCCTGTGGGCCAGGTAAAATTAGATATGGCTCACCGTTTACCTGGATTAGAGGAGTAAGGCAAGTATCACTGCCTATTCCTCACCCCCTAGACCCACTGAAGCCCCAGCTCAAGGGAATTTTTTCTGGCGGCAAGAGCTGGGCTTTAAGACTTTTAATAGATTAGAGACTGGTAGGTTTTAAATGCTGTGTGTGCCTCCATTCGGTTGATATCTCCTATCTGTTCTCTCTGACTCCCGTTAACTGAACAGGAAGTGAAGGGAAGTCTCCACAACATCCACAAAGTGGATAGTGCCACAGGAAAACCTGTATAACAAACTACGCTCACCCCCAGGAAAATGTCACCTGTAGTTTAACCACTTCAAGTCCAGACACTTTCCCCCCCTTCCTGCCCAGTCCAATTTTCAGCTTTCAGTGCTATCACACTTTGAATGACATTTGCGCGGTCATGCAACACTGTACCCATATAAATCTTTTAGCATTATTTTGAGACAGAAAACTCTATTTTGTTGGTATTTATTCACCACTGGGATTTTTATTTTTTTGCTATATAAATGAAAAAGTTCAACATTTTTGGGGAAAAAAAAAAAAAAAAAAGTGTTTTCTTATAAAATTTTGCAAATAAATAATGTCTTTCTTTATAAATCTTGGCCAAAATGTATTCAGTTATCTTTTTAGTAAAAAAAAAAAAAAAAATAACTCAAATTAGTTTATCACCAAAAATTATAATTTTCAAACTTTTTTTTACATTTTTATATTTTTAGTATTTTAACATACTGTCACCCTAGCAGTACAGTGTCACCATAGTGTCACTGTACTATTTGTTGGGGGTGATGAAGATTTTTTTTTTTTTTTTTTTTTTTACACGCATTGCTTTTACACCCATAAAAGCTGTAAAAACAATAATTTCTCCTTCTGACTGCATTCTTGCAGCCACTGAGAAATACTGTGAGAGCTGTGATTGGTCACAGCTTGTCACATGGTACAAGGCTGTTGTGAATAGCCTTGTACCATGTGACCTCTGATCATTCACAGATTTCACACGTAGTAAGCAATGATGTCAGGAAGTGACATCTTGCTTACTACTATTCATGTGATCACCGATTGGCCAATCAGTAATCACATGATTGGGACCTCACACAGAGGTCCCATACAGCGATTGGGAGCGTGCACAGGCTGTAAATGCGGGCGCCGTTTATAAATGGCCACCCACCCCTGCACTGCTCCCGTCCGGCCGTTTATATACATGGGCTGGACGGGAAGTGGTTAAAGAGCTGCTCTCCACTAGCTCAGCAATTATCACATGCCCTCTTAGGATCCTGAGTGTGATGAAAAAAACAATGAAATCCTAAAAATGAGGCAGAGAATAAATCAAAGAGTAGAATATACATATATTAAATGATAAAACATACAAACCGTGAAAAAGTAATATGAATATAATTATATGATCTAAAAATGGGTAGCTCAGATTTAAAAAACAGTTCAAAGGCTGCTATAACTAAGAGGGTGCTGTTGCTGAGCTGCGTGGGCTGACACTCCTCTCTCCTTTCTAGCAATAAAAAGTTGAACATTGAAAATATTATTTCCTGAAGTTCGACAGGCGCTTTAACACTGATGGGTGCTGCTTTTCTCACATCACGGGTGCAGTGCAGTGCACCCAGTTTTTTATGCGGGTTAGCTGCTCTTTGCCAAAAGATTTCTATTATGTCCCGCGGTTTTGGTGTGCTTTCTGGAACTGCCTCAAAAGGATACCATTGGGCTCAAGACGCCCATGCAAAAATGGAGGGTTGGGCGGCTCCTGGACAGCAGAGTTCTGAATGTGGAGGCAAAGAGACTGGAACTTATCTGGGAGAGAGAAAACCCTGGACAGGGCTGCATCTATGATCAGGCCCAGACAGTGTAAGTGATCAGATGGTTGCATGTTGCAACTGCAAAGACTGTTTCTGCATCCAGAAGTGGCATTTAGCTACCTCTGAATGCCACAAAATATCTGCACATGAACCCGGGTGTACATAGCCCTACGTGGGGACATTCTTCACCTCATACTGAGGTAAAGTCACTTTAAAGTGGAGCTGCACTGCATCTGAGCACCACAAACCAAAAAAGCTATTTATTTTAAGATTGAAAGCAAACTCTCCCATACATCCATGTCTTTGTTTTATTTTGCTGAGAAATCATTATGAAAAACACCCCCTGGCATTAATGGCAATGGCCATCTTGAGTAAGGGCAGATGGTTTATGTGTTACTCCCTGGAATTCATCTGCCTTTAGCTCAGGCATGGGCTGAGCTAAGAACCCTCCCTCCCTTCCTGAAGACTGATGGGATGTATGACATCATTTGCTTAGGCATGGAAAGCAGGAAATAACTGAAGAAATGTAAAAAAAAAGTTTAAAACAAGTAAATATAATATACTTTTCTATCTATTTACTAATGCTAGCAGCGTATGGATTAAAATAGTCACTGCTGGTTGAGAGAATGAAGTTCCACAAAACAAAAAGTTTGTCCTTCAACCAAAAACATCACTGAAGTACCATTTCTCAGGTTTTCAAATGCATCATCCTGTTCATCTTGCAAAAGGGCTTCCCTCAATGTTAGTGGATAACTGGTGTATACATTAAATATTAACACTTTATTCCATGTTATTTAAAAAAACAAAAAAAACAACAAAGACAGACCAATGTGGTTAATAAAATGTCAAGTTTTACTTTTATCTCCTGCTTATTAGTACCAAAACGTGTTGACAAGTTCAACTAATAATACTCATCCCATCGTTGCAGAGGACGGGATTAATTATTCCAGGGAAGGCCCATAATGAGGCAGACCTAGCGGGCTCAGTGTTCAGTGCAGGGGCTCTCAGTTCAGTGCAGTGAGGTTAAGAGTTCTGGGACAGGGGAATGAGATCAAAATGAAAGACTAGACAATGGGTCACAGGATGAAAGGGACTATGGGTGACCGGAGAGGTGGGTAGTCTTTGAACTCCTTCAGATAGCTGCGGTGCTTTCCTTTGGCCCAAATTGTCATCTGGATGAATCCAACCAAGCTGAATAGCGCCACTAGGAAACAAGGACATATTATTTAGAAGTGTTAAAAAGCCATGAGATGCACAGGACCACTGAGCAGGGCTTTCATGCTTCTATATACAGGAGTGGTATAGATAAGATTTTTCACCTCAAACTAGGTAATCAGTAAACCAGATTTATTATTTATTACAGGTACTTATACAGCGCCGTCAATTTACGCAGTGCTTTACTTATATATTGTACATTTACATCGGTCCCTAACCCTCAAGGGGTGTACAATCTAAGGTCCCTAACTCACATTCATATATACACATACTAGGGACAATTTAGACAGGAGCCAATTAACCTACCCGCACGTCTTTGGAGTTGGGGGAGAAAACAAGAGTACCCTGAGGAAACCCACGCAGGCACACACAGAGCATGCAAACTCCAGGTATGTGGTGCCATGATTGGGATTCGAACCAAGGACCCTAGTACTGTCAGTGCGAACCATTTAGCCACTGTGCTGCCCAGATGCCCCCCTCCCTGGTTGACGCTGCCTGGGATCTCTGTACTTGTGCCCCAATCACCTTTATAGTAAGACATAAGAAGCGGCTACACCAAAGCAAATTAATAGGACAACGCTGTACTGCTGATCAGCATGTGAAGCTTCAGTCTAATGGGGACTGCACCAGAGGCCAAAGGGAGGACACTCATTGGACAGGAGGATGACAACAGTAATTAATAAAAAAATTTAGGGAAAGTCAAAGTGAAACTAAATGAGAGCGGGACACAGAGTTGTTCTCAAGTTAATAAAGGTCAAAACGAACATCTGGCCATAGCCAGGTCTTTTACAAGTCTAAATGTAGTACATGCCTACATTAAAGCGGAGTTCCACCCAAAAGGGGAAGTTCAGCTTCAAAGATTGGTCCCCTGCTCTCCATTAAGGATTGGCACCTTGGGGGGGGGGGGGGGGGGCACCTCGAATTTGACAAGTCTGTGTGCCCACTTCCGCTGCGATCGCCTAGGCCAGGGGTAGGCAACCTGAGAGCCACAGGACTACAAGTTCCATCATGCCTCTGCAAGTCATAGCTGTAACTGTCAGTTTGTAATCTTTGCAATGCCTCATAGGAAATGTAGTTCCACAACAGCTAGAGAGCCACAGGTTGCCTACCCCTGGCCTAGGCGATTGGAAGCGGAAGTTGTCCTTTTACCCTCCCTCCTCGTAGTCTTGTGGGCCACGTGACAGGTCCCAGAAGACAACGGGGCCATTCAGGAAGCGCAGCACTATTCGCGCATGCGCAGTGGGCACCCGGCTGTGAAGCCGCAAGCTGTAACAGCCAGGTGCCCACACTGAAAATGCTGGCCTCCTGGAATACAGGATGGCCGGTGAAACGGGCTGCAGCGGGGGCAACGCGGGATCGCGGGACAGGTGAGTGGCTGTTTTTTTTAAAAGTCAGCAGCTACAGTTTTTGTAGCTGCTGACTTATGCTTTTTACAGAGTGAGTGGAACTCCGCTTTAAGTCTGCCTGTGTTAGAAGGGTACCCTTTAAATGAGAAAAATTAGGGGAAGAACATAATCTCCACTGAGGGTTGAAATACTTACCAGGTACACACTGAGTCATTATGGCAAATCCAATCCAGGAGCCCACCTGAGACACAAAGATCACGAAATGAGACATGTTTCATATATGGAGCCGTCTATTCATAATTAACTGGTATGCTCTTCTTTAAAATGACCCTTTCACCCTTGTCCCTTACCTCATATGTGTAGTTGGGGCAAGACACCAGCAGGAAGAGCCATGTGAAGGGGTTACGGGTCGGGAAGGGAATTTTCCGCGTCTTTGAACCTTGAAAGGAAAATCACATGATTGCAGCTTAGGTTATAGAAATTTGGCTACAGTCATATGGGTCTATACATGTGGAGTTATTATTGTAACATTTAGCTGAAAGTAGTTTTTGATGCAACCCCATCAGATTTGTCTATGCCCCTATTTTTAGGTATGCCATCAACATCACACACCTACAAAAAGAGCATTCAACTACTGTCTGCAGAGATTTAAAGCTGAACTCCAGGCATGAAAAAAAGAAACTACTCTTATGGAATCTGTGGTATTTGAAAAAAAAAAAAAAATGTTTTCTAAGACCTTCAATTACTTACCTAAATCTGTTGTCACATGACCGTCTTCTGGTAATAGTGACTGGTCAGTGTAAGCTGCTCTCTGTGAAATTGATCAGTCTTGCAGCCACCCCTCACATTGTGATGTCATGATGCTAGTGATGTAACAGTTGAGGACCCTCTGATGAACTGTTTTCACAACCAAAGGGCAGTGCCCACATCACCAGGACATAACATGGACACTTCAAGAAATAAATTCTGGAACTACAGTCCAGAAGAGAGAAGTTGGATGTGGCCTGTCACGTCACGGTTTCTCAAGTAAACTGGGCTTTTAGTAACATTTTACTTTAATTCCTATAGGCATGTGGAATGGATAGAGACATATTTTTTCTCCCGCAGTTAAGCATTACTGTGATTACCTTTGTTTTGTTAGGCATAAGATACTGGATGTGCCATTTTTCTATTAATGTATCTACTGTACTCACATCAACAAAAACTATGCAAATGAAAAGGACTTTTCAGACACCAAGTTCTCTTCTCAATACGTTCAAAACGGTTTCAATTAAAAATCCAGAAAGTATTGATTTCACAAACATTGGATTAAAGACCAACAAAAGAGAGATTTGGTGAATGGATAGAATTTGAACGGGCTTGTTCGGGTTGACCCTGGAACTACACGGTTGTTAAAGATTGTAAAGTGGTATAATCTATTATAAGGTGGTATAGTCCAGCCTTGAGGTTTCTTCAGGGGTGCCTTGGCAAAAAGTCTAAAAATTGCCCAAAACATGTATACAAGCCAGCAGGTGGAACAAGCCTGCCTTTTAGGTACACAAAGCCACAGGTTTTCATTGTGTGCCATCACAACCTTCTAGCCGCCAGCGTCCTGACAAGCAATGACATCATCAGTTGATAAGGAGGATGTCAGCTGCCTGCACAGCATCCTAGTTTGACCCTCCCCTGGCCCTCTCCATCAGTGCTGGGGTCACATTAGCTCAGTGATGGAGAAAAACTGAGGGAGAGGAGAAGGGAAACATTGGAATACTAGTCAGTACCAGTATGCAAAAGTGTATTTGCTTTGGAAGAATAAATCACCTCTAATATTGGGTGTCCTACACTTGTGGATGTTGCTGTTCGAACAGTTTTTCACATTTTAGAATGGGGTGCCTCGGGACTGTCCATAATTTTAAAGGGTGCTTTGACTGAAAAAAGGTTGAGAAACGCTGGTATAGTCTATAGCATGTATGGTCCCCCTATCCATTACACTGTCTGTAAGAAGTGTTAGAAACTCTAGTTTTTTTTTAATTGTATGATCACACTAGAAAGAGTTCTCTTCACTTAGCCTGGGTAACACCTTTCCTTGGAATACAAAGTGAGAGAAAATGGCCCCCATTGGGGGGACAGATAAAAAAACAAAAAAAGGGGAATGCAACTTTTGTGGGAAAAAAACAGCAAATAAAAAAAATATGAATATAACATAACATGAACGGTTGGTGTACAGAACACCATCAAGAAATGTCATATGTTATTTCCTGCTTGGATAAAGAACAAAGCAGGACTGTGACCCGAAATAAGAAAAACAACTGCTGAAAAAAGTGACTGCACAGTCTTCACGGGACTGAGACTGAGCTCTACAATCATTTTTGCAGCAGTTTTCTTATTCCGGGTGTGGGTGTCAATTATAAATTAACACCCCAAAAGCAGGTCACAGAACATACCAATGCAATCTGATTCAGGCACACTGTGAACACCTATTCCATCGCACCAAAAATAAAAAAAAAGGTGCCTGCACTTTTTTCATACGGATGTGGTGTGATTTGAGCCATGCAAAATGATGGGCTCAAATCGCACCACACAGAATTGTATGTGATTTTCACAGGAATGTGGTGCGGTCATACATGCAATGTTACAGCGTGAACTTCAATGACCACATGCAGAGGTGTGAACCTAGCCTTATCAAGCATGTCACCTAGAAACTTACCAGCTGGCCTCAGGTTCCTCAGAGCGATGTGTATGGAGAAGTTACCCAACTGACAAAACTGAGAAGCAGAAGAGACAAATTATAAATAAATAATAATGATAAAACTCTTCCAATATTACTCAATATAAACAACAGCCCATATTATGTATGGAAAAGCCAGATCCACATGCTTGATAAATAAATGGCCATAAAAATGCCTTCCCCCCTACATTTTGCTGCAGTCACTAACCCTCAGTCTTGGCCCATTCTGATTTCTCTGAAGACTGACCTCAACACAAGTAAGTGATGTCACCACCTCAAACTTCAGTGAATGTTGTCAAAGCTGGGAAACTCCTATAGGTATAGTAGAGGAAAAATTCTAAGGTGCCCCCAGCCTAATAAAGTAGCACATCCGCTGTAGAGACCCGGTCAAGGCTGATGAAGCCTGTGTACTACAGAGGAAAAGTCAGGCTCTGAGACTAATGAAGTGGTGCATGCGCAGTACAGGAAGGTATGATGTGCCCATAAGGCTTTTGAAGTGATGCAGCTTCTGGGTGCTGACAATGCCTGGGGAATGAATCAGTTGCATAGGGGCTGAGTAGTGTTGGTGGCCCAGCAATGGAAACAAGTTTATAATCAGAATAGGCAGCATTTCAAGGTAGTTCCTTTGCAATAACTGAATTAGGATTGTTTGTACATTACGGAAATCTTGAAATCAGGGGCGGACTGACAACTCAGGCAATAGGGGATCATGGGGCCCCTGTGTCCTTGCCCACATTCAAAAAAGCCTATGAAAGGTACCAGGGGCATCTCATGAGGCCCCTTACTGACCCTGCCCCTCGGGCAGTGCCCGGGTTTCCGAATGGTCAGTCCGGCCCTGCTTGCAATAGACTTTTTCAAATATTTGCCTGGGGAGACACCTTAAATGCACAGAATATCTTATGGGAAGATTTATTTTGAAATGAATGGTGCAGGGAGAAGGTACCTAAGTGCAGTCACCAAACAGATTTCACACTGAGCTCAGACCAGCGGAAAGGGATTCTGATTGGGTTACACCACTCAGGCCTTGTTCACACCATGTGCAGAGACGTCGGTTTTTCTACACGTGTTCCGCAAAGGCTCAATGAAAACAAATGTTCTCTATGTGCCCTTTCCATACAACTCTAGTATCATGTGCACATTATTTCTGTACAGGGATCTGAAACATGTATGCAGTTTTTTGCACAGAAAAAAAAAAAAAAAAAAAAAACAAAAAACAGGCGTGACATTAACATTGTGATGTGAATAGGGCACATAAAAGATGCGCATGAAAACTGATGTCAACATGCATAAAAACGCTCTAAGACACACATGAAAACTGATGTAAACTTCTGCAAGTGAAATCTGCACATTTTTCCATCAGTTTTTATGCATGTATGGTGTGAACGAGGCCCTAGGAATAGAAACTTTTTCTGAATACAGCCATTTGTGTTCACATCTTCGCAAAGCAACAGACCAATAACAGATCAGCATGCACAAATCTACCTCTACCATACATGAAACACTACTTCTTATAGCCAGTGAATGCTCGGTGCCTTCCCATTCCACTACCAAGACCCTATATTATCCCTTTACTGCCAAGCTTTCCTAAGGCCTCATGCATACAGGGCATTTTTTGCAGTCACTTTTAGGGGCAGCAGGCATTTTTTTTTACTGCTCCCAAATGACCCCCCATGTTATCCTATGTGTCCATGCACACATAGACTTTTAGAGGCTTTTAGTAGCAGTAGCGCAGGAAAAAAAAAAACCCCAGGGCAGTGTGTCCATCAGCAGCATTTTGGCAGAAAAAATGCTTGATGCGTGTAAACGTGTCTAAATGCACCTAAATGCGTGTTAATGCTAGGCGCGTTTAGTGCTTGAGCGTTAATTCATTTCAATGGCCAGAATAAATTCTGGCCAATGAAATGAATTACTGCCCAAGCGCATGACACTTGTAAGCACGCCTAAACACGTGTAAAAGCATCAAGACACTTTGACATGTATCAGGTGTTTTCTTTCTGCCAAAATGCTGTAGCCAAGGTGGGGTCCTGTGTGCATGAGTGCCAAGTGTGTAAGCAAAGCAGGGGCAGCAGGAGGAGAGTGGAAGCCGGAAGGAAAGCTCATCTCTGGTTGCCCTTTCAGCATGCCACTTTAAATAATATTCCCTCCAACCTCATTTTCCCTGGAATCCATATGTGTAATAACCCCACTTATCAGAAACACAACCAGAAATACTCACCAGAAATATGGTGACAGCAAGTTTCACCTGTTCATCCCCATATACTGTTTAAACATAAAAAAAAAAAAACAGGATCATGTCATATACAGGACACATTGCTTTACCAGATAAACTAGAAACCAAAATACTGACAACCTGCGATTATAGGGGAAAGGGGCTTCTGGGACACAGCACTGCAGTTACAGGTGTTGCCTGTGGCACCACCTATTGAAATAATCTAGTACTGCAGAAATTCTGAAATGTTATTCTGCTAAATTTAGTCCACCATGCATCTTAAAGTGTCACTAAACCCCGGACTCTGCATTCGCTGTATCTGGTTTCCCCAGACCCTGCATTCACTATATCCGGTCTCCCCGGACCCTGCATTCACTATATCTGGTCTCCCTGGACCCTGCATTCACTATATCTGGTCTCCCTGGACCCTGCATTCACTATATCTGGTCTCCCCGGACCCTGCATTCACTATATCTGGTCTCCCCGGACCCTGCATTCACTATATCTGGTCTCCCTGGACCCTGCATTCACTATATCCGGTCTCCCCGGACCCTGCATTCGCTATATCTGGTCTCCCACAGTACACACAACATGGAAATGCAATTACTTTAGTAAATATAAACTGCTAAATATCTTTTCTGATCAGCGGTATACAGCAGTCTTCAGTGTATCATTGTCCAGCAGAGCACTGGTTAAAGCTTGTAGGAGGAGTTTTGATTTTGCTCTAGGAGGATGCAGAACCCCTGAACTCTGTCTGAACGGTACTGATTTGCCCTGTGCTGATCACATGCACTCTACCAAGGAAGAAAAAACTCTAGCAATACACAAACCGAGCATGTGCAGAGTGACTCCACATAATGTCTTATCAGGAGATAAGAGGGAGACACTGGAAGAAGGGGAGGATCAGAGAAGTCAGGATCAAATAGCATTTTTACACAGTGCAGAGGATTAACCCTCTTAGGTTCCACAATGAGTATAACAAGTGTGCTTTACTGCAGATACAGACTGATTTTACTGTTGAGGGGTTAGTAACACTTTAATGGCCGTGGAAGCTCAATATATTGAGCAAGTTTAAACTAGACGATGAAACCCTGAATTGAGTTCAGTAACGAACTGATAACTACATTTCAAAAATCTTACTGAAATTAGCCAGATTTCCATTTACAATGGAATGGTTTTGCCCTCTTCTGCATCCCCCAATGGTGCTCCAGGCTCCTCCTCTTCTCTGTGTGCCCCCATAGCAAGCTGCTACCAAACCATGCTGCCTATGTCCATTGACACGGACAGTGTGGCTTGGCTACGCCCCAATCCTTCACACAATTTGATTGACGGCTGCAGGAGCCAATGGCTGCTGCTGCCTGAGCCCCTGTGAGAAGAGAAAGAGAGGAGAGAAGACTGCAGCCGGGCATAGCACTGAATCACTGACAGGCACAGGTAAATGTTAAGAGAGGAGGGAAGAAGTGAAAGTATTTGCATTCCCTGCATTAAGGTGAAAAAACATCCAGCCTTTAAAACTACTTTAAAATGGGGGTCCAATATATAAATGTTTTCACACATCTTTCGCCTGGGATTCACAAGTTCCAAACTGAATCAGATTACAAAACGTATAATCTTGGGGCGAAAGTTATGATTTTTTTTTTGTTATTACAATTTGGAGAGAGAGCAGGGAATGGTTAAGACCCCTCTGGCATTTTGTTTTGCTGTTTGTGTCTGTTGGGAAGATTCCTGTAACAGGAAGTAGGAAGAACACGTGTCCCCAGAGGTTGACTTTCCCTCTAATCCAGTTCCTGTGACAACTAAAATTTTGGCAATTTCTGGTGCAGAAATGGTGGTCACCATGAAATATTTATAGGATTTATCTCACAGAGATAAGCATATGGAATTTCCCCTGCAGGGACATGGACATCTATAAAAACGTGACAGGTTTTAACCCCTTACCAAGCGATAAAAAAAAAAAAAAAAAAAGTTTTAAACCTTGCTTACACTTTAAGCACCACTTCTTCCACCATTCAACCATTGGTTAGAAAGAGGCTCCCTAATTACACTACAGTGAAGGGAGGGGCACCGCTTAGTTCACGCAGTGGCTCACAAGTCAAAGCCCGGACCACGCAGAAATAAATTGGAGAATTAATAATTATACTTGCACGTATCACAAGCTGCCTGTACTAAGACAGCATTATACGTTTATACGTTTTGGGGAATTGCAGCAAACAGAAAGATTAAATCTAATAAGTAACTCGTGTTATTAAGGAGGGAATAATCCTTTAAACCATGCGGGTACTATTAGAATTCCTCCTTGTTCTTTCATCTGTACAAATTCTAACTTTAAACAGATTTAGCAAGGGCTTTTTTTCTGTAGTTTCCTTTAGGGCTCATTCACACCATGTTGCAGAGATGTCAGTTTTTCTGCACGCGTTCTGCAAGGGCACAACAAAATCAATTGTTCTCTATGTGCCCTGTTCACACCACAACACTAGTATCACATGCAGATTTGTTCTGCATAGGAATCTGCAACGTGTATAAAACTCATTGAAGCACGTATGAAAACTGATGTAAACTGATGTCTCTGCAAGTGAGTTGTGTTTCCATCAGTTTTCATGCACGTATGGTGTGAACAAGCCCTTAAACTCAAGCAGTTTCTGCATACTAAAGCATTACCCTAATGCCGGGTGCACTCTAATAAGGGCCTCCTGATTTGGTAAAATATTGAAAATAAATGATGTTGCGCTGCTACCTAAAACATATTTACATAATAAACATGGTATATAGCAGGGGGGCGGACTGACAACTCATGGGGCCCCTGGGCAATAGGGGATCATGGGGCCCCTGTGTCTTTGTCCAAACTCAAAAAAGCCTATGAAAAAGGTACCAGGGGCATCTCATGGGGCCCCCTACTGACCCCGGGCCCTGGGGCAGTGCCCGAGTTTCCAAATGGTCAGTCTGCCCCTGGTATATAGTATGATGCTGTGCAGAAAGTAAATTATTTCAAATATATCTTAACAACAAAATACAAAACATTTGCTTCAATAGATCAGTCCATATATCATATATGTGACCACCACTGACTTTCGTGCTTAAAATCCACTCCATGCAATCTTGTGCCACCTTAGTGCTCCCAGAACTCTCACCTCCAGTTCTCTTTAAAAAAAACGTGTATATAAGATCTCCGCTTCTCTCCTCCACTCCTTATAGACACTCCATATCCCTCTTCTGCTCCTTGATAAATTCCTGGTTGTATCAGTAGCACCCCTTCTACCTCAGATGAGCCGTATCAACCAGGTTGCATCTCTTAGCTATCAGATGAAATAACTTGAACGGGAATTGACTGCCATTGGTTTCAGTGCATTTGTTTTCTCTCCCCACGCTGGTCTGGTGGCTCAGGCAGAGTCCTCAATCCTGCAGCCACCTAGATATGTTTTAGTTAGCAGCGCTACATCATTTATTATCATTATTTTGAACATTTATGTGGGAACACATATAGATGTCAGCCGCAGCATTTATTCACCGACACTTAAAGGTTTCTTCACAGTGAGAACTGAATTTATTCTCTCTTGAGAAGAGGAGATTTAGGGGGGGATATGATCACCATGTATAATACATAAGGGGGGATATGATCTCCATGTATAATACATAAGGGGGATATGATCTTCATGTATAATACATAAGGGGGGATATGATCTCCATGTATAATACATAAGGGGGGATATGATCACCATGTATAATACATAAGGGGGGATATGATCTCCATGTATAATACATAAGGGGGGATATGATCTCCATGTATAATACATAAGGGGGGATATGATCTCCATGTATAATACATAAGGGGGGATATGATCTCCATGTATAATACATAAGGGGGGATATGATCCCCATGTATAATACATAAGGGGGGATATGATCTCCATGTATAATACATAAGGGGGGATATGATCTCCATGTATAATACATAAGGGGGGATATGATCAACATGTATAATACATAAGGGGGGATATGATCTCCATGTATAATACATAAGGGGGGATATGATCTCCATGTATAATACATAAGGGGGGATATGATCTCCATGTATAATACATAAGGGGGAATATGATCACCATGTATAATACATAAGGGGGGATATGATCACCATGTATAATACATAAGGGGGGATATGATCTCCATGTATAATACATAAGGGGAGATATGATCTCCATGTATAATACATAAGGGGGGATATGATCACCATGTATAATACATAAGGGGGGATATGATCTCCATGTATAATACATAAGGGGGGGTATGATCTCCATGTGTAATACATAAGGGGGGGGGGTATGATCTCCATGTGTAATACATAAGGGGGGATATGATCACCATGTATAATACATAAGGGGGGATATGATCACCATGTATAATACATAAGGGGGGTATGATCTCCATGTGTAATACATAAGGGGGGGGGTATGATCACCATGTATAATACATAAGGGGGGATATGATCTCCATGTATAATACATAAGGGGGGATATGATCTCCATGTATAATACATAAGGGGGGATATGATCTCCATGTATAATACATAAGGGGGAATATGATCCCCATGTATAATACATAAGGGGGGATATGATCTCCATGTATAATACATAAGGGGGATATGATCTCCATGTATAATACATAAGGGGGATATGATCTCCATGTATAATACATAAGGGGGATATGATCACCATGTATAATACATAAGGGGGGATATGATCACCATGTATAATACATAAGGGGGATATGATCTCCATGTATAATACATAAGGGGGGATATGATCAACATGTATAATACATAAGGGGGGATATGATCTCCATGTATAATACATAAGGGGGGATATGATCACCATGTATAATACATAAGGGGGGATATGATCTCCATGTATAATACATAAGGGGGATATGATCTCCATGTATAATACATAAGGGGGATATGATCACCATGTATAATACATAAGGGGGATATGATCTCCATGTATAATACATAACGGGGGATATGATCACCATGTATAATACATCAGTGGTTCATATAGTGAACTTGGTGTAGTTATTCATCACAGTGGACAAGGGGGCGCTCTTTATGTCTGGAGGAAAAGAGATGTAATCTCTAAACACGGAAAGGTTTCTTCACAGTGAGCTGTGAAAATGTGGAATAGACTCCCTCAAGAGCTGGTTCTGGCCAGCTCAGTGGATTGCTTTAAAAAAGTCCTGGATTCTTTCTTGGATACACAGAATATAACTGGATATAACATTTATAGGTAAAGTTGATCCAGGGAATATCCGATTGCCTCTCGGGGGATCAGGAAGGATTTTTTTCCCAGCAGGAGCAAATTGGATCATGCTTTGCTGGGTTTTTGTTGCCTTCCTCTGGATCAACTGAGGGTATAGGATTATAACTTTTTTTTTTTTTTTCCCTAGGATTGAACTGGATGGACTTTTGTCTTTTTTCAGCCAGACTAACTATGTAACTTAAATGCACAGTATTTAGTTGGCGCAGGAGTTTTTTCACAGTTTTATTCCTGATTTGGTAGCCGCTTTCACTCCTCCCCCCACATTACAGTCATAGGACGATGATTTGTATCATTACTAAATGTACACTTGTATGGAATCACAGAGTGGTAATGTATAAACACTCACTTGGAGGTGTATACAGGGGGTGATTGATGTAGTATGCCATCCAAGCAGCAAAGCCCCAGTAATACATACAGTTCTGCAACAAAAAGTAAGATTAGTGGAACATTTTCCAGCAAATAATAAAGCCAAAAAAAAAATGTTCATAATGTTAGCAGCTGGAGTTAGACTGCGGTGTACCCATTCATGACAAAAGTCTCAATTCACTAAGCTGTAACACGGCATATGAGTGACGGACATGCAAGGTTTTCCTCTGATTGGCCGAAGTGGAGAGGCAGGCAGTTGATGTCACAATTTCCACCTTGACCAAACAGAGGAGGCTTTCTATTCATTGATAAAAAATAAATGGCAGAGAAACACTGAGACCTGGTTCACACTAATGCGCAGGATTTGCTGAGTTTCCTGCACTGCAATCGCATAGCATCCATGCGATCTGGTGTGAATGTCAATGTTAAAGTAATGACGCTGCAAAGCAGATCACAAAATGCAGTGTGATTGCCAGAATTCACATCACATGGGTGGAATCAGGTGCAGGGGGAAAAAAAAAAAAAGAAGGTCCTGCACCTTTTTAGTGTGGATGCAATGCAATCTGAGCCATACCAAATGTATGGCTCAGATCACACTGCACAGACATCACATGTGATTTGCACAGAAATGCGGTGAGATACCTGTGTGAAGTACATGTGGTATCCCACATCGCACACGTGTGAACCTACACTTATGCAGGCCATACATAGTTGGAATGAGCGATTTCTTGTCTGAAAATCAAAAATGGTAATCCGATGGTGCCATCAATGATTTCGAAAATCGCCTGACCAAGTCATAAAGTTCACCCCATATAACAGGTGAAACTTCTGCTCCTTCCAGGTCACGGCTCATGCGCATATTCTTTTCGGAAAAATTATCGTACGATTTGACCATCTAGGCGAAAATCGGTCTTTTTTTCACATATTTTCCAACATGCCCGACCACCGAAAAGGGGAGGAACCACGAAAATCGGCCGGTGCCACTGACCCACTAACAGAGCGAAAATTGGCCGATTATTCTTAGGTCCAATTTTCGGGCCAAAAAAAAAAAAATCAGTCGAATTTCGACCCATGTATGGCCGGCCTTAGGCTGACTCTCTTTTATTCCATCAGCAGACAGTTAGTTGCCCACACTGCTGCCGAAACACTACTATATGTAGCTAATACTTTTATAATGTATCAGAGAAAACACAGAGGTTGTGTTGTTTAGCATGACCCAAACTAACTTTTTAAAGTGCTTTGAATTCATCTGGAATTCAACTTTAAAGAGGTTGTAAACCCTCCCATATTCACAGTGAAATGACTGGCCTCAGGAGATACACAGGGATAAAATGTATCTAAAGTTGTCTGTTCCCTACATCCAAAGTGCCGAATTTACAGAGGATCTCTCAGCTGCTCTGAAAAGCAGGGGGTGGGGAGCTGAAGTTACACTTGGTGAGGTGAGCTCTGAGAGTTGACTCAAGGAAGGAGACACACCACCCTTCACACAGCACACAGAAATAGAACTGTGGCTGTCAATCACAGGCTGTGCCCTCCCCTGTCACCATTGTCAGGAAAACTGGTCAGAAGTGACTCAGGCTTAAAGCATAGGAACAAGGCAGTGGACGGATAGGACATTTAGCACTCTGGATTGCTGTGAAGTATACACTATAGAGAGATATGCTTTATTCATATTTCATGTCTGAGGTTTACAACCACTTTAATGCAAGATCCACTTTACATATCCAGTGATCACCTTTAATTAGACTAGACAGCTCAGTTATAAGCCAGCTACAATTACAATTCATCAATTGATCAACAAAGTTCGTAGGATCAAAAATTATTTCAAAGCAATTTAAAAAAAATAAGAAAAGTTTGCTTTGAACATTAAAGCGGAGCTCCACCCAAAAGGGGGGAGTGGGTATCCGAATTTGACAGGTACCCGCTCCCACTTCCGCTGGGATCGCCTAGGACAGGGGTAGGCAACCTGAGAGCCGCAGGACTACAAGTTCCATCATGCCTCTGCAAGTCATAGTTGTAACTGTCAATTTTGTAATCTTTGCAATGCCTCATGGGAAATGTAGTTCCACAACAGCTAGAGAGTCGAAACAACAGGTTGCCTACCCCTGTCCTAGGTGATCAGAAGCAGAAGTTGCCCTCCTACCCTCCCTCCCAGTAGTCTTCTGGGACACATGACAGGTCCCAGAAGACTATGGGGCCATTCACAAAGTGCAGCGCTTCTCACGCATGCGCAGTCGGCACCTGGCTGTGAGGCCGTAAGCTGTCACAGCCGGGTGCCCACACTGAAGATGCCGGCGCCAGGGAGAGGAGACGGCTGGTGAAACCAGCAGTGGTGAGGACACCGCTGGACTGAGGGACAGGTAAGTGTCTGTATTTTAAAAGTCAGCAGCTACAGTTTTTGTAGCTGCTGACTTTTATTTTTTTTTTTTTCAGGTGGAAATACATTGGGTCCTTCTGCAAAGTCAGATCTCTGTCTGAAACATTTTACAGACTATTTGCATATATTGTCTCTGAACCTCAAACATTAACATAAAAACAGAGCAGTTACCTTAAAGATGTTCCGCAGCGGCATTGTACCGTGAGAAAACCGATGTACAAACAGAGTTTCCAGCAGACGTTTTATGTAGTGAAATGAATGGCAGATACAGGCTAGGCTGGAAAAGATACAATATGAGCTATACACACGCAGGATAACACTTCCAAAATGTTCTCGAATATGTCCACACAACAGCTCTTACGATTTGGATCTTCTATGTGGTATCAATCCCTGGAGTAACTATATTCTCTACGTGAGCCCTGCAGTGTCCCACCTACTATGAGAGTTTGCACTACTGGTGGTCAGCATCACACAATGGGATACACAGATTGAGGCCCCTTTCACACAAAGGGTTCGATCAGGTCCAAGTGTCAGTTTTTCAAGTGAACCTGATCAGACTCTCCATTCACCCCTAGGGACTGGCGGGTGTGGACAGACCTGTGTCTGTTCACACCCATCTACCTCCAATCCAATCTGTTAAACAAAAAAAACGGAAGGGGATCTATCCCCCTATGTCTAGGCAGATCGGAGGGCAGTTGGGTGTAAACAGACAGTGGAGTCCGTTTACACACGACCACCCATAGTGCAGAGCAGCCTCTGTCCGTGTCTGCTCTGCATAAACTGAGCGGACTTGGACCTGTCATCCACTCGCTCTACTCTAAATCAGCAGGGGATTAGCAGACAGATCCCCCTGCCAAGCTAAACAGAGTCCACCCTGTGTGAAAGGGGCCTTACGGAGTCCACCCTGTGTGAAAGGGGCCTTACGAAGTCCACCCTGTGTGAAAGGGGCCTTACGGAGTCCACCCTGTGTGAAAGGGGCCTTACGGAGTCCACCCTGTGTGAAAGGGGCCTTACGGATAGGTCCACCCTGTGTGAAAGGGGCCTTAAGGTATACAGGATAAACTAAAAGAATATGAGGGTTTTATTTCTGATAACTCCAACCACTGGAGAGTCCAAAAAAATGGCGGGTGAATTTTATGTGGACTTGCTTTTTTAACTGGATCTGGCCCCCTCCCCTCATTACAAAATGCTGGAGGAAAACAAAATGACTTCTGCCTCTTGGCATTGGGCCTCACAAAAAGATCCTATGAAAGTTCAGTATGACAGATCCTGAAAGAAGACAACAGGGTTGATTTACCAAAACTGCAGAGTGCAAAATCTGGTGCAGCTCTGCATAGAAACCAATCAGCTTCCAGGTTTTATTGTCAAAGCTTAATTGAACAAGCTGACGTTAGAAGCGGATTGGCTACTGTGCACAGCTGAACCAGATTTTGCAGTCTCCAGTTTTAGTAAATCAGCCCCAATGTGCAGGAGCACATTCTCATAAGACTTGGGATCCTCAGATATCCAATGAGGAGTAATGTTAAGCCTTTTTTGCATTTTAGTTTCAATTTTTTTTTTTTTTTAAAAACACTTCCCTCTAGCATTTTGTGAATAGGGGGATGCTACATAAGCAAATTGTGTGCTTACTGCAAGGTCCACTTTAACATATACACAGTGGTCACTTTTAAAGGGACAGGACAGCTCAATTAAAAGCTAACTGTAATTACAATTCTTCTGTGCGAAAATGACCAACAATCTTATCTAACCTTTGCTCATGGAGTCAAAGACTATTATGAATTAATTAAAAGAAAATGGAAGTTTGTTTTGCTTCCATCTATAACAGCATAAGAATAGGTTTCACTAGATGGTCCTTGCTAACTACATACCCACCATAGTTCTGTGGCTATGCTGTCAGGAGACAGTGACTCTGCATAGAGTAGAAGAAAAGAATGGGCTGCACACTGACACCATCACCTACATAAAATCAGATTTAATGCAAAAAAACAGAGGATTCACAAGATATAATCTTACATTTCCATCTCCTGCCCCACCGCACTTCATCACCATGATTAACCACTTCCTGTCTGGACACTTTTACCCCCTTCCAGTCCAGGGCAATTTTCAGCTTTCAGCGCTAACACACTTTGAATGACAATTGCGCGGTCATGCAATACTGTACCCATATTAATTTTTTACCATTTTTTTGAGACAGATAAAGCTTTATTTTGGTGGTATTTATTCACCGCTGGGATTTTAATTTTTTTTACTATGTAAATGAAAAAGTCCAAAAATTTTGAAAAAAAGTGTTTTTTTTTAAATAAAATTTTGCAAATAAATAATATTTCATCATAAATCTTGGCCAAAATTTATTCCGTTATTTTTTTAGTAGAAAAAAAAATCCAAAATTAGTTTATAACCAAAAATTATAATTTTTAAACATTTTTTTTTACATTTTTATTTTAATTTATTTTTTATATTATTTTTTATTTTTTTTTGCATACTGTCACCCTAGCAGTACAGTGTCACCATGGTGACACTGTACTACTTGTGGGGGGTGATGAAGATTTTTTTTTTTTTTTTTAACACTGCATTCTTGCAGTCATTGAGAAGTACTGAGTGAGCTGTGATTGGTCGCAGCTTGTCACATGGTACAAGGCTGTTGTGAATAGCCTTGTACCATGTGACCTCTGTGATCATTCACAGATTTCACACGTAGTAAGCAATGATGTCACAAGTGACATCTTGCTTACTACTTTGCATGTGATCACTGATTGGCCAATCAGTGATCACATGATCGGGACCTCGTACAGAGGTCCCGTCCGACGATCGGTGTTTCACTGTGTCCGAAGGACACAGCGGGCACCGGATCGCGGTGCTGTGCGCTCCCAGGGAGCGTGCACAGCTAGAAAAGGCGGGTGCCGTTTATGAAGTGCCGTTTATGCCCTGGAGTGCGACCGCCCTGCCGTTTATCAACAGCAGGCGGAGGCAAGAGGTTAAGACTTCTGTAGGATGAAACACTTTGCAGCAGGAGGTGGACAGGCAACGCTTCGTGTTGTGAATCCTCGATTTGTTGCATTAAATCTGGTTTTACATCTGTGATGGTGTCAGTGGGCAACCCGTTTATTTCTTTTTGACAAGTGAAATAGAGTAAGGATGCTTCCCTGGACGGGCACCTGACAAGCATTGCAGACACAAGGAGAGAATCAACTTTGGACCAGGATACACACTACTATTCCTATAATCTACGTAGAATACTCACTGAACAACGGAGTGCCGGCTTGTGATGAAGTCATATTTGGGACCATATATAAAGGGGACACGGAAGTAGAAAAGTAAATAGATGATAAGAGGTCCAGCATACTCTGTCAGGAATACCTGAAAGCAAGTATAAGAATCAAAACATGTTGCAGACATTGCAAGATAATATAAATCTTTATATTGTAAAGCGCTGAGCAAACTGTTGGCGCTATATAAATCCTTTATAATACTACTAATAATAAATCTTTACTGTAACTGTGTTGCTAAAAACCACCAATCACATCCCAGATGTCAGCTTTATAATTTAAGGCGGAACTTCACGGTCTCCAATCAGCACTATGTTTATTAATGCTAGCAGCATAAGCATTAAACATGATCGGACAACAAATCACATTTACTAGTTTTAAACTTTTTTTCTACATTTCTTCTGTTACTTCCTGGTTTCCAGCTCTAGGCAAATGATGTCATACATCTCAGAAGTCTTCAGGAGTGGAGAAGGTGTTTTCTCAGCTAAGCACACCTTCCTGACTGCATACCTGAGCTGAGGGAAGGTGGAATCCAGGAAATAAATGCTACATGAATCATCTGCCCTTGCTCAAGATGGCCATAGCCAGAAATGCTAGGGGGTATGATTCCTCAAGAAAAATAAAGCTTGAAGACATGGATGGAAGGGGAAGTTTGCTTTGCATAATAAAAAATATTTAAATAGAATTCTTGGTTTGCGGTGCTCAGATGCAGTGTAGTTCCTCTAAAGAGAATCAGTTATGAGTAAGCTTTTCAATATTCAGGTTACATGTTTAGAACGCTAAAAGCTTACCTAAGGATTTCTATTTACTTTGTTACTTGGCTTTACTTGGGGCTCATGTTGTAAGCAAATGCATACATTCAAATGGCTTTGCCTGCAGTTCAAACATACTACAAGGGGACATACAGGGGTAGATTTACTAAAACTGGAGCACTCAGAATCTGGTGAAGCTGTACATGGTAGCCAATCAGCTTCTGACTCCAGCTTGTTCAATTAAGCTTTGGCAATACCCGGAAGCTGATTGGTTTCTATGCAGAGCTGCACCAGAGTTTGCACTCCTCAGTTTTAGTAAATAATCCCCACAGTGTCCAAGAAACGCAATGCAAAACAATTCAAACACAGCCTGTTAAAGGTCACGTGTACTAAATTGAAGTCAATGGATTTTGGTGGCCTGCATTTGACGTGCATGCTAAATGCAGGAAAAAAATGCCCACAGACAGGAGTCCTTACTTTGTCTATGTCTGACTCTTTGCGCTAAGGTACAGAAGTGAGACAGTTGCAGCTCCTGTCCACTTCCCGACCTTGGACCGTTAACAGGAGTCTTCCCTTCACTGGCAAGTGTACATAACAGCATCAAATAACAGACACCCTGCAGTTATTTACATACTCTCCTTCTACAAGACTGTCACTTCACTGTTATGCATACTCTGGAGTGGGGACACAGCACACATAATAAACATGTGGTCATGCAGTTCAGAGGGTAGGCCTTTCAGCTCTGACTCAAGCAAGCTGTGACAAGGTAAACCTAATTAGAAGGCGAGTATAGACCTTTCACAAGTAAGCCTGCAACATTGTAAAACATGTAAAATGTCTAGCAAAAACCTTTTTTTTTTCATTTTGAATAGAATGGAGGACTACATCCCCTGTTGAATTCCACTGCTATCCAGGGTACTGTTAAAAAGATTTCCCCTCATTGGGGACATGCTCCCATTTGAAAACTCTTGAGTTCTAAGATGGGATGTGGACACATAGGGGTTTATTTACTAAAGCTGGAGAGTCCAAAATCAGACTCCCTTCTGCATAGAAACCAATCAGCTTCTAACCTCAGCTTGTTCAATGAAGCTTTGGCAATGAAACCTGGAAGCTGATTGGTTTCTATGCAGAAGGGAGTCTGATTTTGGACTCTCCAGCTTTAGTAAATAAACCCCATAATCTCCAAGGTTTATAAGGTCTTGGTTGAATTGGAAGGAGCTGGATCCCCGTCATTCTTGGAGGGTTTGGAAAGAGAATTGGAAAAAAAAAATGAATGATCACCAGAAGAGGAAAATGTTTAAGTTAATGCATGGGGTGATGAACACAAATATAGTTGAGATGAACTATAAATGTTTATCTAGATCAGGGATGGGCAAACTTTTTGACTTGAGGGCTTCAATGGGTTCATATATTGGACCCGGGGGCCAGACTAGCTGCTGGCCGGCCCAGCCACTACCATGCCATCCATAGTAAGTATAGTAATATTCCCCCATAGTAAGCATAGTAATTAATCCCCCATATAGTAATTCATCCCCCATAGTAATTCATCCCCCATATAGTAATTCATCCCCCATATAGTAATTCATCCCCCATATAGTATTTAATCCCCCATATAGTAATTCATCCCCCATATAGTAATTCATCCCCCATAGTAATTCATCCCCCATATAGTAATACATCCCCCATAGTAATACATCCCCCCTATAGTAATTCATCCCCCCTATAGTAATTCATCCCCCCTATAGTAATTCATCCCCCCTATAGTAATTCATCCCCCATATAGTAATTCATCCCCCATAGTAATTCATCCCCCATAGTAATTCATCCCCCATATAGTAATTCATCCCCCATATAGTAATTCATCCCCCATAGTAATTCATCCCCCCTATAGTAATTCATCCCCCCTATAGTAATTCATCCCCCATATAGTAATTCATTCTCCATATTGTGTCAATTCACTTACCTTTGCTCCGCGCGTTCCTCTCGCCGTGTTCCCGCGCCGTTCCGGTCTTCAGGGCGGACTGTGAGAGGAGAGGAGTTCGTCACGCTGCCCCGCCTACATCCTGACAGCCAATTTTTGCCACGCTCCGCAGGCCGGATTAAAAGGTCCGCCGGGCCATATACGGCCCCCGGGCCGTAGTTTGCCCATTGCTGATCTAGATGGTATTGTACACCGAATGTGGCACATAAACAGCAAGAAGAAGTATCACCTTTATGTTGGAGAAGGTGTGGGGCAATAGGGACAATGACTCATATATGGTGGGAATGCCCAAAAATTCAGTTATTTTGGCAAGAGATTACACATTTTATACAGGAAATTGGGAGGACGCCTATACAAAAGGACCCATGGGTGTGTCTCTTCTTTAAAACAGAGATGTCAGTAAAACAATACTTGGTATACCATCTGATTAGTGCAGCTAAAGGTTTAATCCCCACGTTTTGGAAAGCCCAGGATCCACCAACAATGAAGGATTGGATAGATAGACTACAACACGTTAACAGGATGGAGGAACTTTGTTTCATGGAGGATGAAATGGAAAATTTAGTAAGATTTGTGGTAAATGGAATAAGTTTAAAACATCAGAAAAATACTTAAAAAAATGAAAGGTTCCCTGATAGTAGATTAGGAGAAATTAAAGGGCTAAAGTGATCTAGATAAACAAATAGAACAACAGGAGGGGAAAGAGAGGATAAGGATGAAATTGGACAGGGTAATTTTGTGAGGGTGGTTTTGGGGGAGGGATGGGTTATAAAGGAATGTATATGATGTAATAAGGATTTATGATGGTTTTTGCAATGTAATCTTTTTTATATATTTCGAAAATTCAATAAAAGATATCATAATAAAAAGATTTCCCCTTATTTATAGTGGAACTTTAGGTAAACAAAAATTACAAAAGAGCAAATAAGCAGGAATTTTAATGCAGAAAAGGCATGCTCTGTCTCTTATGCATTAAAAATACTTACAGTGGGGCAAAAAAGTATTTAGTCAGCCACCAATTGTGCAAGTTCTCCCACTTAAAAAGATGAGAGGCCTGTACTTGGCATCATAGGTAGACCTCAACTATGAGAGACAAAATGAGAAAAAAAATCCAGACAATCAAATTGGCTGATTTGGAAAGAATTTATTTGCAAATTATGGTGGAAAATAAGTCGTTGGTCACCTACAAACAAGCAAGATTTCTGGCTCTCACAGACCTGTACCTTCTTCTTTAGGAGGCTCCTCTGTCCTGCACTCATTACCTGTATCAATGGCACCTGTTTGAACTTATCAGTATAAAAGACACCTGTCCACAACCTCAAACAGTCACACTCCAAACTCCACTATGGTGAAGACCAAAGAGCTGTCGAAGGACACCAGAAACAAAATTGTAGACCTGCACCAGGCTGGGAAGACTGAATCTGCAATAAGCAAGCAGCTTGGTGTGAACAAATCAACTGTGGAAGCAATAATTAGAAAATGGAAGACATACAAGACCACTGATAATCTCCCTCGATCTGGGGCTCCGCGCAAGATATCACCCCGTGGGGTCAAAATGATCACAAAAACGGTGAGCAAAAATCCCAGGACCACACGGGGGGACCTAGTGAATGACCTGCAGAGAGCTGGGACCAACGTAACAAAGGCTACCATCAGTAACACACTAACCCACCAGGGACTCAAATCCTGCAGTGCCAGACGTGTCCCCCTGCTTAAGCCAGTACATGTCCGGGCCCGTCTGAAGTTTGCTAGAGAGCATTTGGATGATCCAGAAGAGGATTGGGAGAATGTCATATGGTCAGATGAAACCAAAATAGAACTGTTTGGTAGAAACACAACTCATCATGTTTGGAGGAGAGAGAATGCTGAGTTGCATCCAAAGAACACCATACCTACTGTGAAGCATGGGGTGGCAACATCATGCTTTGGGGCTGTTTCTCCGCAAAGGGACCAGGACGACTGATGTACAGGACAGAATGGTTGGGGCCATGTATTGTGAGATTTTGAGTGCAAACCTCCTTCCCATCAGCAAGGGCATTGAAGATGAAACGTGGCTGGGTCTTCCAACACGACAATGATCCCAAACATACCGCCCTGGGCAACGAAGGAGTGGCTTCATAAGAAGCATTTCAAGGTCCTGGAGTGGCCTAGCCAGTCTCCAGATCTCAACCCCATAGAAAACCTTTGGAGGGAGTTGAAAGTCCGTGTTGCCCAGCGACAGCCCCAAAACATCACTGCTCTAGAGGAGATCTGCATGGAGGAATGGGCCAACATACCAGCAACAGTGTGTGCCAACCTTGTGAAGACTTACAGGAAACGTTTGACCTCTGTCATTGCCAACAAAGGATATATAACAAA